CCCCCTCGAAAAACCCCCCACCCCGCACCCCCCCTTACCACTAAGTACCCCCCGAAATATCAGTTAGCATTTCAGTCAACGCAAATAGATTCAACAATTAACACAAAAACAAAAAGAAAACAACCACCCAACTCTTAAAGCAAAAAATAAATCAAAAGAAACAAACGCAAGAAATAAAATTGAAAATGCGAACAACAAATAAAGATATAAAATCACAGACCTGAGAAAAATGGGCACGAAACATCGCGCACACGACGTGCATCACTCGTAACTGAAAATGTACATGGAAAATGTAATGTACATCAAAAGTCGTGAACAACGCGAAGTACCTGTCACTGAAATTACACATAAAAAATGTAACATAATACAATGTATCCTAGTATAATCCTACTGCTAAGGTACTCGTACCACATGTCGAAAAAAAAACAAGAAACAATAGTCTACAAGTCGTGTTGTAGTTGCCGAGATACTTTACTGTACTCAGTCTGCTGCAACCAACGCTACTCTACGAACACCCTACTGGTACCAAAATCATACACACCAAAAACGAAGAAAACAACAACTACAACACGCACACTACCACTGAGTGTCTAACAATACGAAGACAAAGACGACACGACCAAAAAAACCAGAACCTCACAACATGATGAAGTACAGTGTGAGTAGGGGAAAAACACAGTGTTGGCCTCACGATCAACAACCCTTCTTCCCCTTCCCGCTCCGTCTTCTCGCACCCCCTCGAGTGCCAGATGCCGACCTCCTCCTCCCTTGTGCGGATGAAGAAGTCTGCGCAGCGGAGTGTCTAGATGCACGCATCGGCGGTGGAGGTGGGGGCCCATCGTCGCCGTAGTCGTCGTCACCGCCGGAACCGCTCTCGCTATCCTCCTCACCCTCCTCCTCGCCCTCATAGTCCTTGTCCTCCTCCCGCACTACCACATCCGTCTCAGGATCATCCTCCTCGATGGTGACAGGGCCTCCTCCCTTCCTCAACAAAACAACCCTCGCACTAGCCTTTGCAACCGTCTGCTAACGGTGGGATCGCGGAGGCATCCCCAACCCCTCCGCCCCCGAACTCTCTCCAAGCGCATCGCCTCCCTCTGCTGCCACAGGGCGTGGACGAGGAGGCACTCCACGCTTGCGTGGAGTCTGCTCCTGCACAGCACGCATCGCTGCTCTAAGAGCGTGCTCCAAGGTATCGGTGGACACTCCTCCGGCATGACCTCGCCGAGGCTCACAACCTAATGCTCGTACCTCCCTCGCTGTGGTCGTCCTGGCACCGCGGGGTCCAAAGCCCGGCTGAAGGCGTGCAGTGTGCTCTGTGATACGGCAGGTAGAATCCAAATCTATGTCTGTCCTCCCGAATAATGTCGTGTCACACACGTCCCGCAAAACTGTTGTCGTGTCACAAATCCTCGATCTCCCGGACGTCTATGGGGATCGAGAGCCTCTACCTGTGGACGACGATGATGGATCACCTACAGGTGGTCTAGGAGGAGGGGGTGGCATGTCTCCTGTATGTGGCGCTGTCTCTTGCACGCCACCCGAAACCCCTGGAACATCTCCCGCAGTACGTCCTCCGGTGGAGGTAGACCCAGACCACACGGGCGACGCAGGACCCCATGGAACCGAAGGGATCGCCTGCCATGCTGGATGCTCGAGCCTCCGGTCGAAGATCCGCCGGTCCAATCGAGTAACATCGCGCATAGCATCTCTCGCCAATTCATCTGCATCCAAAGGATGACGGACCTCCTGCGGAGCAAAGTGACTAGGAGGACGTGGAGGCACCACCACCGGCTCGGACCCCATATCCGTGATAACGGGCGGTGGCACACCATGCACTACCACCTGAACCGGCTGCGACTGTCGGCCCTGAGCCAAGTGCAGGCCCGAGAAAGGAACGACTGGACCCGCCGCTGTCTCCTGAACCACGGGTCGTGCGTCTATAGCCCCCTTATCTCGCCGTTGTCCTGCCTGCACAGCCTCATACGCCGCTTGTGGCCGGCGATCCATAGGAACATCCACTGCCTCTGGCCCACCCTGTATAGCCTCATGGTCCGCCTCTGCTGCCACTCCCTCCATAACGTCCTCCCCAGCCACCACCCCACCCTGCACACCATCCCTCCCTGTCTCTCGACGCCTGGCCTCCTCCAAGGCCCGTGCGAACGCCTGAGCACGTGGGTTACTCGATGCCATAAGTCGAGCCCTCTCTCGCTCCATGATGTCGCGTGCTATATCCATAGACTCCCCCTACGTCCTCTCTATCGGGGTCTTCATCCCCGTCGCATCTGCTGTGTCGTCCCGTGACGGCGCCCGATCCATCGTTGTCGCCCCGCCGCAAGTAGGTGGAGTGCCTATTGACAAGTCGAAGTCGAAGTGCGTCCCCATCTCTGACCTCGCCCCCCCTGTGGGAGCAGAGATCCCCAGCTCCATCGCCGCCCCCGGGGTCAAACCCCCATCACTGGATTGACCTCCTCCGTGATGAAGCGCCGCACGAGCTGCTCATCGGTGTCCACACTGTCATGATCCATAGGAACAGCCTCCTACGGCGCCGCTGCCGCTACCTCCTCCTCAGTCGTCGCCTGTGTTGGCACCTCCTCCCTCACTGTCGAGACTGCTGGTGCCTCCTGCGCTGCTGCTGCCACATCCCCCTCCTCCTGTAATACCCCCGGGGAAGGTGATCGTAACCTCAGCTGTCGAACCACCGTCGATCTCGGGAGAACCCCGTGCGGAGGCAGGGAGGATGCCAACTCCTCCGTCTCCGCCTGTGTAGTGGTTGGCTGAAGAGGCGAGACGGGGATGGGCGGTGCAGGACTCGGCGCAGGAGGTGGCTGAACGGCCGGCTTTCGCCCGGCTGGAGGAGGAGTCGGTCTCCCCGCCTCTGTGCGGGTCGTGTCGGCATGAGAGGCCCCGCCTCTGTCAGGACGCACATCACCCGTGGAAGCCACCTCCCCGAAAGGGCCCCATAAATCCTCATCCCCCCCCTGCATCTCCTCCTCTGCCCGGTCCGCTGCCCGCCATGCCGTGTATGTTCTCACCTCGGCATCATTGGCCTCCTCATGTGTCTCGTCAATCTCACTCGGGATGGGCAGCGCAGGGTCATCTACTCCCTCGGGTGTAGGCTCCTCATTCGAGTCATCGTCCCAGGGGTACGAACGGAAAATGCAAGCACGTCTCTCCGCCGCCGTCATTCCCTGGCGCGTGCCCATGCGCACCGGCTCAACCTCCAGTCATGCTTGGCAGTCCAACATCCCCTCGTCACGCTGCCATGGCAGCACGTAACCGCATCCTGCCCGCCGATACTCAACGAGCTGCACGACCTTCTCAAAGGCCAACCTATTACGCTTCTTCGTGTGGATGCCATCGTGGACTGCCCAGTTCCTCTCCGCTAGAGAGGTGCAATACCACATGTGCATCACACGAAGAGCGCACCACTGCAACTCAGGGGCGCCAGCCCCGTACTGGGACCACCAAGGCGTGCACTCGATCGTCTTGGCGTCACTGCTACACGCGCGCCCACGAGCACGCCCCTCCGCCCCACCCCAATCACCAAACCTGTCCTGCTGCATGTGGAAGTCCTCGAACTGCCGGCAGGCAAGGAGGTACTCCGCACCCTCCAACTCAAAACCCGTCTGCGTCAGAATGTACCTCTTGGCTTGCCTCACAAGCCGAGCATGGTATTCCTGCACCTCGCCGAAAAAATATCGAACATGTCGCCTGTGGGGGTTCAGTAAGAACCTAGCGCAGTGGGTCGACTCTAGCATGTGCTGCGAGCATGCCTGCACACGCCTGATGATCCGGTCTGCGATCGAAGACCCCAAGAGAGCGCATGCCTCCTTCACCCGCTGCACAAGATCCTGTGCCCACTCAAGCATGAGCGACATGAACTGCCCTCCACGATCCATCCGTCGGAGCAACTGCATCACGGGCTCCATGATATGGACGATGGTGGCCACCCTCTGCCACCAAGGATCCCATCTGATGTCGGCGCACCCAACGCGCCATGTAGCAAACATTTGCAGACCACGGGATGGAGGCAAAAACCCGTGCGTCATCCCCTCGCATCATGTCCTGCAAAGTGTCCTGCAGGGCCATGAGCCTCTCCAACATGGAGTACACAGACGCAAACCGCGTCTCGCATGAAAGAACAAGACCGAGGTTGGGGCTGCGCTTCCTAAAAAAATTAAGGGCCGCCTGGTGGGTTTTGAAAAACACCACCCACACACGAGCGCGTGTGATAGTATCAACACACGACCCCTCGAGACCCTGCGGTGAGGAAATTAACGATCGGTCTCCCGTCTCGTGATTTCCTCCTGTCTGAGAGGATGGTGACGCCAATCACCCAAAATGGTTACCTCACCTCCTCCAACTCCTTGGCCAACTCCGCACGGCGCCTCTCCACTGCCTGCATGCTCCGATCTTGATGTGGCTAGGGAGCACAGCGCGCGGGAAACTGCCAGGCTGCTGAAGAAGCACCTGCTGATATGCCCTTCATGCCTCTTTGCGAAAGGCATTGGAGGAAACACCGCTGGAATAAAGCCAGCGAAGGAAGGCCGTCTTACCGGCAAGCAACCCACTCGCCACCGTACACCTTATCCACCTTCAAATGTCTAAGCCTCTTTCCAGCTTGAGTGGTAGCCGGAAGGCCCGGAACAACTCCCCCTTCCTTCCTCTTGGAAGAACCCTCCCTCGTCGGATCCTGCGCAGGAGGCAGCTGCCCCTTGGCCCCTCGCCGCTGCCAGTCCACGATCTTGTCCCCCGTCAACGGATCGAACTCGGGCTGATCCTCATATTTCGGGAATCCCTCCCGGGACGTGCTACGTGCCTCGCGATCGTCGATGATCACGTCCCCCTCGATGCCACCGCCTCTACCCCCCAATGGCTGGTCGGGCTCACCATGCCCAGTCTGTCCCCCCCCGCCACCTCCCTCGGCCGCTGCACCGCCTCTCCTCCCGTCGCTGCACCGGCCCGGGGCACATCAAGTCCATGCTCCGCTGCAAACCTGGATATCCTCTCCATCTGGTCGGCCTCAAACTTCAGCTGATTTCGTTTTCCTCCTACAAGGCCTCATCAGTGACGGCCTTGCAGTAATTGGTCTGCACAAAGTGTCTGGTTGCTTGGAGTAGAGTCCCCTGGAATACTTTGTTGCAAAATGTGCAACGCAGCATCATCACCCCCTTGTTGTCGACCTTCTGGCCGACGACAGGGTACGGATACACAGGGGACCTTACCCTGAACGTGTCCTTCACATCCTGAGAAGCGGGTTCATGCTCGCGCCGCTGTGCCCTCCCCATCGTGAGTGTCCCGTTCGCCGCTCTAAACCTTCGACCCGAAGACCTGTCGACCTTATCCAGAGGAACACGTCCTCCTCATTCAGCATTACAGTTTGGTAGGATGGTTCTAGGTCTGTCCACGTTCCTTCTTCGGGAGGACGATCGACACCCCGTCCTTCACATCTACCGGCATTTCCGGACCACTGGTATAGATCGGGGATGACAACCACCACACCATCTCGTTTCCAGCACCCGACCCCTGTTTCCGTAAGAGAGCATCAAACGACCTTTTTGGTCAGGTCAACCCACGTCCTAGATGAGAATTATTTCAGACCCCTCATTCGGGTCTCCCTACTCTACCTCCCCACTCCTAAGTACCACCCTTCCGTAGCACCCGTGGTCGGTCATCACTACCCAATTATTCCTTTTCTTGGTTCCATTCCGACCGACCTCTATCCTTCACTTTTTTCAATCATCTTTCACTCGTGTAGACTTAGGTAGGGAGGTGGGAATAAACTAGAATCATAGCCCGTCCAACAGCTCAGACCTCAGTCAACTTTTACAGAGGAGGACACAAAGGACGGAAAACTCACACAATCCCACACATAAGGCACAATCGTCTCCTCACCGGTCTTTCCCAATGTGGTCTCTCCGCTGGTACTTTCGGTAGAGTTTTATCCCATACCTCAAGCGAAGCTCAACCGTCGCGAGCGCGGTACCCAGGTTCCAGCACAGGGTGTTACCCCTCTCCATTTGCCCAAAATACCCCATTCCGTTTTGTCGCTCTTGCATACCCCCGTTGATACCGGGAATCACCCCGCGCACCCCGTTAGGAGCAATAGTCAGTCGTCCGGGCATTCACTTTGATCGGTCCAATAAGAATCAGTCTTTCCCAAAGCGTACTACGGGAAGCTACTAATCGTCTTTGAGGCTCCCTCCTTGCCTTACACGCAGTTGTCCCCCTTCGCCAACCGACAAGCTAAAGCCCCGCCTAAGGAGACGTTTCGCATCCCGCCTGGGCAAGGTGCTGAGCCATGCTCGGTCCGCCCGGGAGAGAGTGCTACTAATCAACCGGCGAGACCAACTTTTTTCCGACAGCTCGGTGGTCCGACCTCCGCATATGAGACCCGACAACACTACAAAAGAATGAAGTTTCATCATCCCGCACCAGCTGGTGCAGACCCATCCTTTCCTTCTGAAAGGCAGGACGCTCAATTCCCTTCATTCAAATCACAAGTCCCAAGCGGGGCACACATAGTACGAGTGTCTTTCTCTTGGTGCACCCAACGCTTCCTGCCCATAACTCACAGTTTTCTCTCAGGACAATGAGTGTCACTCCTCATACACAGTGCAAGAGAAGAGAGTGAGTGTAACTCACCCACATGCATGAAATCACAAGGGGGGAAGTGGCAATTCACAAGGGAGTGAAGAAAAGGACAAAATAAAAGATAATCATCATCAAAACACTAGACTAAGCAAAAACGAGAGTTGGGATTTGTTCTTAAGTGAAGTAGAGGAGAGAAAGATGATAAGAGAGTGAGTGTAACTCACCCAAATGCATGAAATCACAAGGCGAGAAGTGGCGATTCACATGGGAGTGAAGAAATGTACTAAACAAGAGGTAGTCATCACCAAAACACTAGATTAAGCAAAGACAAGGGTTGCGATTTGTTCCTAAGTGAAGAAGTGGAAAAAAAATAAGAAAAGAGTGAGTGTAACTCACTCAAATGCATGAAATCACAAGGGGAGAAGTGGCGATTCACAAAGGAGTGAAGAAAAGGACAACACAAAAGACAATCATCATCTAAACACTACATTAAGCAAAAACAGGAGTTGTGATTTGCTCCTAAGTGAAGAAAATGAAAGAAAGTGAGAAAAAAGTGAGTGTAACTCACTCAAATGCATAAAATCATCAGGGGAGAAGTAACACTTCCCATGGGAGTGAAGAAATGGACTAAACAAGAGGTAATCACCACCAAAAGAGTTGCGATTTGCTCCTAAGTGAAGGACTGGAGAGAAAATGAGAAAAGAGTGAGTGTAACTCACTCAAATACATGAAATCACAAAGGGGGAAGTGGCGATTCACAAGGGAGTGAAGAAAAGGGCAACACAAGAGGCAATCATCATCTAAACACTAGATTAAGCAAAGACAAGAGTTGCAATTTGCTCCTAAGTGAAGAAGATGAGAGAAAGTGAGAAA